CAAGTGAACAATATTCAGCTTTTAAAAGGAAAGCCTTTCCAACACATGCTTACATGGCTCATCCTTGAGGACATTATGCTAAGTGAAACAAGACAGCCACTAATGATGATAGTCAATGCAATAGGGAATAGAATATATTTATTTACCAGAGAGAGAGAATCACACAAGCTGGGAATCAGAAGCGTGGCCAGCTTCCAAAAGAAGAGGTCCTTTTTCCTTTTGCTTCCTTTTATCTCTACCTGTGCTAATTTACTTGTCCCCGCCCTCATGGGTTTGTGGGGTTCACTCCTACCAGCCACAAATCAAGTACTGCATGATTCCACTTACAAGAGGCCCACAGAGTTAATAAACTCATAGGGATGGGTCAGTTGTGGTTGCCAAGGACCAGAGGGAGGAGGGAACAGGAAGTTGTTTTACAAGGTCAAGACAGTCTTTGGGGACTGATGGGTATGATGATTGTCCAACATGAACACATTCAGTACCACTTATCTGCATCCGTAAAAAATGGCAGAGATTGTAAGTTTCATGTTACACATGTTTTATTACATTTATAAAGCAGACAAGGAAACCTAGAGGAGATACTTTCATCCAACCTCCTTTCTCTTTAAATCTGTAGGCTGTGACCTCTCTAGTTCACAAGCATCTCTTCTGACCTGTTCTACCAAATTCTTTTCTCAGGCCACTGGGCTGCTCTGTTCCTTGCTCCATATCCCAATGAAATGCTCTGTGAGTGTCCTGAAGCAGGTTGTCTGTTCAGGTGTGGGGCTCTCAGTCCCCAAGCAGAAGGTGGCTGCTTGGTTGTGTGTGACTGTAAGGCTAAATGGCTGTGTGGATTCTGGAAGCTCACATGGCTTCTGAAAGCTTGCCTCTGCATGGAGGCTGAGAGCAGTTCTGTAGCCATGGTTCTGGGAGTAGCAGAAGCTATAGCTTCCCCACTTCTGCTTGGGCTCTTCTATCTCTTCCCCCACAGCTACCAACATAATATCTCAAGATGGACATAGGGTCTCTTCCCCTAGTTTCCTAGTGTGGGCGCCAAGGCATCAACAGACTAATAGGTGACCTCAAAGCACTGACCTGTTGTGTCCTCTGTCTAGTTTTTGTCATCCAGTCACAGTAGATCACAAGACATTGACTGGGTTTTGTCAAGGCTTTGACTTACAGAAGACTTGTGAAGCCACCGGGTTTGTCAGAAGGAGGCCCATTTCCTGAGTTCATTGATAGATACAGAGGGTTTTCTCCTCCCGACATCACCAGGTTGGCTTGAACTGTTGCCTCCCCATGACAGCCCTGAATTGCCATCACAAGGAGTTGAGTAGTAAGATAACAAGGAAGAAGAAAGTTCCCAATTTCCATCTGTAACTCCAAATCCGCCCCAGGTAACCAGACCTTCTGGAGACAGCTGCCCCATTCTGCAGAGAGCCAGGAGTGAGAACAAACACCACTGGGTTCACCCACTCTGCCCACAACATCATCAGAAGGTCAGCATGTGCGAAGCTCTGTGCAGCCATGCACTGTGACTGTCTCTTGGTGTCTGTTGCAAGGATTCTTCTACCCAGCCAAAGCCACTGAGCTGATGAAAGGGATGATGATATAGGAGCAACTGAACACAGAATCTGAGTGTCTACACTGATTGCCAACTCTCAGGCACCTCAGCTATTCTCTGGGTCTTGTCAAGGCTTTGGCTCATAGTAGGCCTATGAAGCCCACTGGTTTCTTACATACTTTTCTTTTATAGGATGAAAATTAAATATGTGTCAAAGTCCTCAACAGAGGTTCTGGCACATAGTAGGTGTGCAGGAAATGCTTGCATTTTAGGTCTCATACAAACACTGGCTTGGGGAGACCGTAGAGAAGCCTGACTACCTGCTTCCTGTCTCATCTACTTATATTTTCTAACTTCTTCAACTTTCCAGTCCTTAAGACACAGGTTTGATTCTGTTGTTAATATAACTTATGTGTTTACATAGTGGGTCCCATGTGTTATGTTTTTATGGTTCTGTGTCCCCAAGAGGAAGAAAAGGCAGATCCTGGGTTTAGCGTGAAATATGCCAACACTGTGTCCCCTAGGCAACAGCTTCTGCTACACACACACACGCACACACACACACACACCACAGATAGAGGGGTTGAAAGGAGCTGTGGACACACTCAACCCTCCTCTGTTTGCCCCAAAGCAAATGTCCTAAAGATAGAATGTCCCTGTGCAGGCCTAAACAAAATGACATGGAGAAATATTCATGGTTTGATCCCTACATACATATGGCCAGTCCAAACTTACTTCTGTGGTATGCAGGAAATGAAAAATGCAATTAACATGCTTTTGATGAGTCAAGACATAGAACTTGGAAACATTCATGTCCCACCATGTGCTGGGCACTTAACTAGCTTCAACCAGAGCCTACACAGTGCAGTACCACATTAAACAGCAGGGCAGGAAGGCATGGAGACTTGGAGCATACTTAGTCTGTCCATTACCCACACAGGAATCTCCTTCACACACAAATCATGTCTTGCTTTCTCTTGAAACACTGTTCACAGACTTACTCTGCTTTTCGCACCTTGAGAAGGATTTGGAGTTGAGAAATAATTGCTTGGCTTTTCACCCCATCAGAGGGAACGGGGAAATATTTTGAAGGGAGGGGGAGTGTGAGGTCCTGCCTGTGATGCGCACATCATCACCCCATTGCTGTGACCAGCCTGTATTTACCCAGCACTTACTATACATCAGGTTCTGTGTGATGCCTCTGAGGTTTGATTTTTCATTGTCTTCTCCCAACAGCCCCTTGCAAGAGGCACTACTGTTGTGTTCATTTTAAGGTGGAAAATTGAGACATACAGAATTCAAGTAGTATACACCAACTCCCATGGATACCTGTGTCTAGGAACTAGCATGTGTATGACTCAGTAAGCCAGTGAGTCTTTATTACCTAAGAAGAGAGGCTGCATTCCCAGTCATGGCGGGTGGGGGACTCAGAGTGGATACCTTGGGCTGTTTCTGTCCCAGAAGACTCCCCAAGTCCTCAGAGCCTGAGGAAATGTCTGAAGTGGGCACTCCCACTGCCCTTTGGGAAAGCTCTTAACTTTCTTATTCTTCCCAGGATGGAAGTAGTCATTTTAGAAGCTACAGATGGGACAGCAGATGGGAAGTAAAACCTATCAGAGTTGCCCGGGATGAAACCATTCATCTGCAAAATCCATATGTTTTTGTGTGGGGCGACTTCATAGAAACAACAGCAAGAGGAAACAACAGACCCCGGAGCATCAGGTGCCTTTGGTCATGAGGCTGATAGGACAGAGGGCACAGAAAAGCCAAAAGTGTGGGTGAGCACCCTGGCAGAGACCTGTGAGGGAGAGGGAGAGCAAGCCAAGCGCAGGGACAAACAATGAGCTGTTCAGTTAAAGGACCCACAAAGAACACACTTTCAGCACATGGTCTGACAATGTATTTGGGACCTTTGCAAAGATAAAAGGTGCAACCTCGCCTGCAGCTTAGATGCCAATAGTTGACCTGCACTAGCCACTTGCAAGAGCCTGGTGCTCTACTACAGTTTGTTATTACCTCCTGGTATCACATGGATGGATTTATGTTCCTGTCAATCTGCTGCTGCTTCAATGACTTATCTCAGATTCCCACACTGTGCAGTTTGGTGATAGTCTAAACCTGCAGCCTGTCTGACCCTGACCCTTCAGGGTAAGGCCATGGTTACAGCTAGGACTGTAATCAATGCAAAGCATCATTTCTAGGGGACCAGCCGTGGGTGTGCTTACCTGGACTGTTTCCTTCTTGCTTGCAACTATACAGACAGCCCAGTCTCCTGATTTTTCCCAAGAGGCCAATTGCAAGCAGAAAGAACATCTACTTTGGAACCAGACAGAACTGGTTCTAGTCTTTGCTTTGTCATGTCTTCACTATTTGACAGTGGATCTCAGTTTGACCATCTTTCTACTGGATTCCCTACAAGGACTCAAGGAACGACCTCCCATGATATTTGCTATACACAACATTGTCAACAAATTTCTGAATTCAATCCTTTATTGGAAGATGACAAGGGAATGTTCTAACTACCCCTTGCCCTAATTGTCTAGAGTCACCTTTCCTCCATCTATTGCTTACTAAACTCCACCCATTTTTAGATTTCTATAGTTTCTCTCAAAAGAAATGATGGCTTTTAACTCCAGATGATTTGGGTCCTCAGGGAATATTGACAATCTCTTCAGACACTGTGAGAAGGACATAAGTGGGCAGAGCATGCTATTGGCAGCTTTTAGATAGAGACCAAAGACACTGATAAACACCCAACAGTGCAAGAGGAACCCCCATAGCAAAGAATTAGTGGCCCAAATGTCAATATTGCATAGCTCACAAATCCTGGTCTAGAATGCTCTTCCATGCTCTTCTCTGCTCCATCCATGCTTGCCAACACATCTTGCTCTGGAGTAAATATTCCAGGGCCTTTCTCACTTCTTATCTGTGACCTTGTCTGGGCTGTTGTAAGAAACCGCCCTTCTATTAGCCTGCTTTGAGCTCAACATCAAGGTCAGACCTGTATTTTTTTCTGCTCAAAACATATTTTCATTTGTCTTGGAGAAACAGATCCATGACATAATCTAGATCTACTCTCTGACCTTGTGTCTCATTACTTTATCCCTCATTATCTGTTATAGCTCTTCTAAGCCCAACTTATTCTTGCCCACACTAGGGCTGGCCTAGCTCTTTCCTGCTTTGGAATACTTCCTAAGACATCATCACTCACTTCATCTTCTACTGTTGTCCACAAGGCTGTTCCTTGCCTTTTTCATTAAGAACATGATGCTCGCCCATTTCTGCCCTCTGCCTTCTGAACACAGTGTTGGTTGATATCATAGAGACAACAAGCTCATTTAGTGAAGCAGGATGCTTCTCAGAACAGGAAGCTGACTGCCTGTACTGTTGTTACCATAAAGAGGGAAAGGAAGCATGATGCTGAACCTAACTGTTTTAGAGTTGTGGACTGGCTTACCTGATGGGGTAGTCAGCAGCGCTGAGGTTTATGAAGAAGTCCCAGGGCCAGTCAGTCATATCCAGGAGATCCCGCATGCTCTGCAGGTAGGTGGACAGGAGACTGGCCCCGCCCCAGATGGTGGCCATTCTCCACGAGGTGACTCGGACATTGTCGTACTGCTTGGAGAACTGGAGCACTTGCCGATGCAAGTAATTGGAACGCTTTTCCCAGGAGAGAAAAGGAGAAAAGGCGACAGTAAATAGCCCAGAAAACATCAGCCCATAGATATCCCAGCCACCCTGTTCTTCTTGTGATTGGTGTCTTATCACACTGGCTGCTATTGATGGCAGTCTGTGGTGTCTTTCTGCAACAATATTCAAATATTTCATTCATATGAATTTTTTTATTGGCTACTGAAATTCAGATTCCCCAGGCCCATTGCTGAGCTAGTCAATCAGTGGGCTTGAGCTTGTGGGGCTGGAGCACAGCATGATAATGAATGACTGTTGTATGTTAGCTGAGGGTACCAACCTCAAAAACATGGGTCTGTCTAAATTTGGTGCGTCTTTGTAGGTAGGGGGTAGAGTTTATATGTTCTGTCCTTCAGGACATTCCCCCTCCCTTACTGCTCCACAGGTTGACTAGAAACACCTTAGGGATTAAAATAGCCCCTTTGCCTCTTTAGATTTAGGGTAGAAGCTGTAAGTGGGCTGTGTACTTGCTAGGCAAGCATTCTATCACTGACTTACAAACTCAACCTGTGGTTTTCTGAGAAGACAGGATCTCAGACGGTGCTGGACTTGACCTCAGAGCAACTTTCCCGCCTCTATCTTATGAGTTCCAGTGTTCTAGATATGCACACATCTTACGACATCAACAACTAGGGAAGGATCACTCCGGGGTCAGCAAGCCATGTATAATGGCAATGAGACTTTATTGGTACATAATCATGCCCATTTATTGACAGTTTTCTGTGGCTGCAGTCAGATAAGGGCAGCTCTGATTAGCACATGGTCCAAAAGAATATCTCAACTACCTGGACTTGCCTAGAAAAAGTGAGCCCACTCCTGGGATAGCTAGTTTTACAGACCTGTGAGGGCAGGCAATAAACACTAGGTAGGGAGAGAAAGAGGCAAAACCCACAGCACACTTAGGTTCTGAGAGGAAATTCTCATGTGTGTTATGTTATGTAGGAGGGAGACAAATGCTAACGGTAATGTAGAACACATTGACAAAAGCTCATGGGAGGATCTTGAATGATCTGATCACAAAGAAATGAGAAGCATTTAAGGCTATGGATATGCTAATTTCCAGAACCAACTGGCTCACCGTGTATACATATATCAGCATATCAAATTGTACCCCACAAATACGTGCAATTATCATGTGTCGAGAAGAATAAAAAACAAACAACCAGAGGAACAATATTTATAGGAAAAGCTGAGAGCCACAGCTAAATGAAACTAACAACACACACACACACACACACACACACACACACACACACACACACACTCTTCAGGACCACATAGATGCTGTTCCATCTCTAGACCTCATTCTGGACTTGTGCGATGGGAGGAAGGATCAGAGATATACAGACAGACTGCAGAGGAAACCCAACAAAGGGATCTGAGCAGCAGCTCCTCACCTTATCCACGTGGATGTAGTAGAAATGGTCTTTGTGGTAGATAGCCTTGAACATGCGCTGTAGCTGCCGAGAAGCACGGCCATGGACCACTAGGACAAAGGCGATTCTGACTGGGTTGGTGGGCATGTACTCCACAATGTCCTCATCCCATTGGACATTCTTGTTAGCTTTGCCTGGGGAAAACCAGAAGACCACAGAGATGAGCTTAAAGATGGCCTGCCCTTTGGGAAGCAGGGACCATTTCCTACACTTCCCCTGGGGACAGGAGCTCCTTTATCCACACTTAATCCTAGAGCTTTTGATTCAGCTGAACCAAGCAAGGACCCTTATGCTGTCCGGATACACGGTAGTAGAGATTCTGTGTTGCTTACAGTATTCTGTCTACACTAGAGGAGTTTGAAAAGGCTGATACATGCATTCAGCTAAGTGTTGGGTAGTATTATGTCAATTAGACACAATCTAAAGTCATCTGAGAGGAGGGAACCTGGACTGAGGAAACACCTCCATAAGACTGGGTGGAAGGCAAGCAGATAAAGCATTTTCTTAATTAGTGATTGATGGGAGAGGGCCCAGCCCATTGTGAGTGGTGCCACCCTAAGCTGGTGGTCTTGCGGTTCTATAAGAAAATAGGATGAGCAAACCAGGAGCAAGCCAGAACCAGCATGCCTCCATTACCTGGACATCAGCTCCTGACTCCAGGTTCTTTCTCTGTTTGAGTTCCTGTCCTGACTTCCTTCGATGATGAACGATAATGCTTGCAAGCATAAACAAATAAACGCTTACCCTCCCAAGTTGCTTTGGTCAAGATGTTTATCACAGCATAGTAACCCGGACTAAGACAAGTTACCACGCAAGGCAGGCATGGGGGCTACGAAAGATGAAGCACCAAGGAAATCTGGAGTGAATACGCAACCTTTGTTTGTCCATAATATTTTTCCTTCTCCCCCAACAATGGCCAACTTATGAAAAAAGAGAGTAACATGAACTCTGACCCTTTGATAGAGTTTTGTTTTCAAAACAGTATCGGTACTGGTAATTAGAAGTGTGACATTGTCTAGCAGCACTCAGGAGCTTACTCATCCTGTGCCATTGCAACCTTATCTGACACCTGTTCGTGTGTGTGTGTGTGTGTGTGTGTGTGTGTGTGTGTGTGCACGCACGCGCGTGCAGACCAGAGGTCAATGTTGGTGCTTTCCTTAATTGCTCTTCACCATATCTTTTGAAAACATGGTATCTCACTGAAAACATGGTAACTCACTGAGTTGGCAAGAACGGCTGGCCAACAAGTCTCTGAGGTCCTCTTATCTCTGCCTCCTCCTTGGCACTGGGATTGCAGGACTGGCTTTGTCACAGGGGTGCTGAGGCTTGGACCTTGGTCTCCATGCTTGGACTGGAAGTACCTAACTAACTGAGCTCCTTCTTTGGCACCTTAGCAGACACTTTCTGTTGGTCTTCCTCTTGTTTATGCTCAGTCTACAGTGGTGGGGAGCATCATCTTAACTATAAACCCAGAGGTGGCCTGTAGTTCAGGACTGGCTGGCCAGACCTTGGCCCTCCCTTGGTGCTACACTGTTCAGATGGATGTTTGAGCCACACAAGCAGTTTGCCAAGGGGACAGTACTCTAGTTTTGTTGGAGTTGTCAGATAAAAAGGTACTTGCTATACATCAGACTGGAAGATGGAGAGAAGTTGCCAGAAGAAAACCAACACAAGGGGAAGCTCTTCTGAGAGGTGGCTGGTGTCTAAGTCCTAATGACCCACTTTGAGCTCCAGGATCAGCCAGGCTGTAGATCTGCCACTGTCACAGACTATCATCTGTCACCTTTTGAGAGCTAGATCCCACACCCAATCCACCTGGATAAAGGGTTCCAGACATCCTTTCCCCCAAATCAGTCTCAGAAACTCCCTATCTCCAGGGTGAAGGTCCATGAGTAACAGCCTCTCAAGTCAGACTCAGTACTGTCTGGTCTTCCCTGGGATGACCACTTCTAGTCTAACTGGATTCCTGGCAAGGTCTAGGTTTGTGGGGCCAGGACACTGCAGGGGTTTCAGGTGTCCCCGAGTATCAGCTGGGGTTGCTGAGAATGTGGAATGTTTGGCCTTGTCAGCTGCTTGGGAGAGGGACTGTGTTGGCTATGACCAGAAGGGTTAGTGGCAGTCAGATGAAGGCTCTTTTCACATGACAAGATTAGTGTGAAGAATGTCCAAACCCAGGATGGTCGACACACACCTATAATCCCAGTATTTAGGAGGCTGAGGCAGGAAGATCACAAGTTCCAGGTCAGCCTGGATTATGTAGTGAAACTTACTTGTTTTAAATCATTCCTTTCTTATGATTGGCAAAACCAGCAAACTAAACCAAACCAACCCCCAAGCCAATAAGGGTAATGTTCGAACCACACTGTGTGGCTTTCACAGCTCAACACAGCAAATCCTCTGATCTCTGCTCTGAGTTCTGAGTGCTTGCACAGTCAGCTCACCCCTCCCTTTCTTGGTTTTTTTTTTTACCTGCACAAGCTCCTTGTTCTTGTGGGTTTTGACAGTGAATCCTGGCACCTGGACACCCTCTCCCTAGAGCTTAGCATGGTTACACCTTTCTATCACCAGCACAAGTCCAATAAAAGATTATCTTCACTCTCCATCTCTCACTTCATCTGTTCCAATTTTCTGCACATCATTTAGCACCATCTGAAGTTGTTTATGTGTTTGCTTGTTTATTATCTGAGCATTCTGCTAGAGCATAAGGTCCAAGAGATGAGAGACTTTATCCATCTTATTTACCATCAGACAAATAATGCTCAGGTAAAATCCAACACACAGCAGGTGCCTTGTGAAGAACAAAAGCTTCAAGAAGGTACATGTCAGCTCTGTCCAATAACAATACCTGTCTGGAGCAGTGGTCTGGGCTTGATCTCATTATTTCATTAATCTTCCTGACAGCCTACAAGGTTGTTATTACCTCCATTCTTTAGAGGAAAGCCCCCAGCTTAGAGAGCCAAGGGATTTGTTTAAGGTCATGCAGCATTAATTAGTTAAGCTGAGATGCAAACCCATGTCTTAAAGACCATGCCCTTAACTACTAATGTAGACTATACAATCACACCGAGACCTTGGAAAGGAGAGTTGACAATGGTGTTTGTTAATTAAATACCTTGTAAGTTATTGCAGGTAAGAAGGTAGGGATCTAAAGGGTTTCACAGGTGTTGAGAAAGAATTTCTGTATTTGATAAGACATTGACTATAGATGACCATATATATCTCTGTGTGTTTATGTATCTATGTATATATACATATACCCATCCGTCTACTCACCCATCCACCTACCGACTCTATCTATCCATCCATCATCTACCTACCTATTTCATAAAATCATACATATATTCCATCTACCCACTTACCCTGAAATCCACTCCATCTATCTACTAACCCCCCACCTACTCTACACATTCATTCAACACAGGAAGGCATTCAACTGCTCATCTGACAGCCTATCATATCAAATGTCATTCATTCATTCTCTAATCACAAGGTCTCTTGCCAAAGCTGCTGAATGAGTGAATGAGTGAATGCACAAACAAATGATTTCTGATGAAGAATTGATGCTGTGGTGGTCCCAGGAGCTTATATTTCCTGAGGACCGCCACTTACTAGCACTGAGAGGGGGTTCTGGGTCCTCTGTTTTTTGGTCTTGGTTAAGAATGCATTAACATTGAGGCTCAGAGTGTTTGGCATGTTTCCCAGGTCACACAGTGAAGACAGAGTAGGGAGCAGAAGCATAACAGCCAAGTTCTAAGCCATCCTGCTGTGTCCAAATGTCCAGTGCCAAAGAGTGGCTTCAGGCAGTGACCAGACCTGATACAGTGACCCTGCACTGTTCTTTAAAGGGACTTGGGAACCAATGCTGATAAGACAAACAAACAAACAAACAAACAACAACAAAACCCAAACAAAAACCAAAAATCCTTTTGTGACTCCTCTTTAGAGTGTTAGAGAGCACAGCATATTCATAACAGAGACAAGGAGTTGTAGCCGCTTTAGTTCTGGAGTAGAGGAGTATTTGGAAAACAGATCACACCAGTGAAAGAGCAATTGTGTCTTTAAAAAGTCACTTTTGGATCAGACAGTTGGTCTCAAAGCACAAGGAAGCTGTGACTCAGGGAGGTCTTTGTGAAGAAATAGTTGAGCTGCTGGGTGTGGTGTTACACACCTACTGTCCTGACACTCAGGAGGTTGATGCAAGAGAGCCACCAGTTTGAGGCCAGGCTGGAATACACAGTAAGGGTGTGTCTCAAAAATCAAGAGTTGAGTTTATAGGCTGATCGATGGTAGAGTGCCAACTGGGCATGCCACCATGTGTTCCAACCATACCATAGAAAGGAAGGAAGAGAGGGAGGGACGGAAGGAAGAAGAAACAGATGGAGGGAGGGAACGGGAGGAAGAGAGAATGGAAGGAAAGTGGGAGGAAAGAAAAAAGGAAGGAAAGTAAAGGGGAGGAAGAGAGGAAGCAAGGAAGGGAGGGAGGAAAGAAGAAGGGAGGGAGGAGGGAAGGGGGAGGGGGGAGGGAGCAAGGGAGCAAGGGAGTAGGCTGAGCTGAGGATGGAGTCTGTGATCTAGGAACCCTTACACTGTCACTCTGCTCATCAAACTGTCCCCATTGTATAAAGTGGGGAGCATCTATTCCCAGAATCATGTTAGTTGACTTCCATTTGTTGGACAGATAATGCTGCGTGGATAGAGTCATGTGGGTCTCTTCAGACGGAGGACTCTGAAAGGCTAAAACTCACACTCTGTCCAGCTCCTAAGAAAGAGGCCCGAATTTAACAATGTAATCAGATTCCCGTGGCATAAAATAGAAAATAAGTGGAAAAATCAGACTGATTAGAGGCAGCCAGAGAAGCTGACTCCAGATGAATGTTAAAAGCTACGCCAATGGGGGAGAATATCAAGTGTGTGTCTGAGGTGAGGAGGGAAGACTTAGGAGGGGCTGCGCAGCGGCTCTCTGGGTAAGAGGCTGGGCCATGCTAAGCCTCTTACACCAACTCAGCAGGACTCAGCATTCTGTGGGCTTGACAAGGACCATATAGTCTTTAAGCTTCGAGGGTGGTGAGAGGAAGAGATCCACAAGGACCCATTTGTGCTCCGTGCCGTTCTCTGTAGCTTCAGTTATGTTACT